ACGCGGAGTTCATTATACCCACAGTTCAATAGCGCCATGTTAAAGTCCTTGCTATAATCACGTTGACAAAGCCATCTTGACGTCACTCCTAACTGAAAGGATATCTGATAATTGCTACATGTGGAAGTTTCATGTAGTTTATGTCGACCGATCCGTACTGCTGTAGGACTGGCACATTTCCTGCTCCCACAATAATTAAGGACGCTCTTGAAAATTGTAACTACATGTTCTTTTATACCTTTCTGTAGGTTGTTGCTGCCCATAACAATTATTATACATGTACGTATAGTAATATTCCTTCTCTTGATCTCGATGAAGCCTCATGATCACGTGGTGATCGGAGACGCATGTACAATGTACGTACATGCATCACACCTCATTGTACTTGTAGTGGAATGTGGGTAGAACACGGAGATACATGTACATGTACGTCATGTACATGTTTGAAAACTTACAGCGTACAGTGTACTGAGTATTTGATGTACATGTAATACATGTAAAACCTGTCAAGGCGACCACTCGGATAAGGCGACCACCTGCCCCAGAAGTCCACTGCTACCAGGACCAAGGGATGCTGTTTCCGGTCAAATGACCCTGGATAAGGAGACCGACCACCTGGCAATGGAGACCACATTTTGAATGTCCCTTGAGTGGTCGTCTTAGACAGGTTTCACTGTACATGTACATGTACTAGGTGCCATTCATTGTTTGTTGTCGATATCACAAATACATGACTGTATGGGCTATGGTTTCCCACGGGAAAAGAACGTTAGATTCCAGGCCGCGGGTGGTGGCCTAAGCGTTAAACTCGGGCATTAGCTATGCTCGGTTAGCAGGTATTGCTCTTGAGAAGGCAGCAGGGCGTTACTGATTGCATCGTTCTTTTACGCAGCGTCTTCCTGAAGACCAGTGCTAAGACCAGTAGTCAGTGGAAAGGTTACAACAGTGTGCCACCATGTACTGTATATCTAGAATGTACATGATCGTGTACACTCAGCCACAGCCACACATATCGCTACAGTTGACAGTGTCTTGTGCCAAGTAACAGTTGTGGAGAAGTCCAGCCAGCTATGCCACCAAACTCCCAATGACTTTCAAAGACTACACCGCCAGGGTATGTAGTACATTATAGTGGCGTTCTGCTGTTTGAGTGCTTGATCGTCCAAATCGACATGAATGCGATCGCGCATGGCTGCCCCAACTGCCCAGGCCAAGGTAAAGGAATGTCCGTGCGATATGCGTTTAGAAATACTACCATTGTGTCCATGTTTGTACATGTAGTTCGCACACACTCCAGGAAGAGATGAATAGTGCCCCAGTTTTTGTCCTGTCTTGTGCCTCGTTCGCACTGCCCACCTTGGAACTGAAATACCAATGTCCCAAGGTAACAGGAGACGTTGCAACCCCTCCTCCAGCTGACGTACATGTATGCCGACGTTAAAAACAGGAAAGGTAGCAGAGCGGGCTGGAATGATGGAATACGTACACTGTATACAGGGTACACGTGGAATTGGTAAATCACACATCGTGGTGACTGGAGACACGTTTTTGAGTGCCCTACTTCCCGAAGGTCTATGAAAGTTTGAAACTCAAGTCAATGGAGTTGTGTTAGGGTTAAGTGGTGCGACTATATCAGTGTTCGGCTGCAGCCATGCACGTGTTACGTACATGTACATGTAGCTATTGTTACGATCAATGATATGCAAGCGGGTGCGAGTAGACCTACAAGGCGGGTGTAACCGTGTTCCATGTTCCTCGACTCAATTGGAATTAACATTGAAACCGTGCATCACAGTTCCGTTCTAGTAATTGGGAGCGATGCAAGATGGAAAAGTGAAAACGAATAGTACACTGTACCTGCCTACAGGTCACATGTAACGGCACAGAGCAAAGCTCAGCCTAGAGCTCAGCCTAGAGCTCAGCCTAGCACAGTAGAATACTAGTATTATTACTAGTGGTATCAACTAACACCTTGTTCGCATGATATCTGCTTGTAGACGTTTTGGCTTTTTCTGTGAGTTTGACGAGTCGTGTCAAGTCTATCCGAACTAAGAAGTAACCGTCGGTCATCTCACATAAACGCTTTGTGAAGGGCCAGTTTGCTTTGGTGCTTGATGGGAAGGTTGCATTCTTAGTCTTTAATTGGTGCGTTCCACAGTGAATGACTCAAGTAGATCAAACAACAATTCTGTCTGTTTAGGAGTCTTGTAGCTGTCGTTCAAACTTCGAATCAAATTCGTTCATCATGCACACACATGGACATGAACGGTGCTTTAGTGTGCAGATGTGTTTTGCAAATGACGCACAGCAAAACAGGGAGATGGTTCCTGGGTCTGGATCATGCCGCACAAAGGACCCCGAAACTACACTACAAGCCATGCACGTTGTAAACATCGTTGTCTTAGAACTGAACACGGCGTGGCAACTAAGACGGCAGGGCACACGCGCGACTCACCCGCTCAGCCATAGGCCCATAGTCACTCATCCATTTTGGATGATCTCACCGTGGACATGGCAGTTATCGCCGGCCAAGAGATTTGGTGACAATTGCCAAGGTATTCGAACAAGGTACAAGGGCGTAGAGGACAGAAAAAAACTATCTGACAATTGCTGTGAAACACAGAAGTAGGTCGGGCAGAGGATCAGCTAAGCAGGAAACACTCATCGTGATTCGAGGATACAGCCTACAGGTACTATTATTATCTAAGTGTATTACTACCATCGCATATAACTATGTAGAGTTCAGGCTTCAATGTAACTGCAAGCGGAGAACTGGCCTTGAACAAGCGGACATAGTTTAGAGTTGCGAACACTTTCGCTAGTTGCATTCCTGTGTGCTGCCCCACAATGCGTACAAGTAACAACAGGAGTACATGAGCCCTACTGCGTAGACTGGCTCAACCCAATGTCTCCTCCGTCCAATGGTAGTTTACTGTCGCGGCGGCAGAAATGCGGGGCCTGGACACTGCATAATCCCAACCATTACTAATACAAATACTGTACGTGTAGTACTAGGTAGAACTAGCATAGTAGCAAAGATATTCTAAAGAGCATTCTGTAGCTACTCGCAGATCATCGTGTGGGAATTCGCACTCGTCTACGCTATTACAATAACGTTACGAACAAGTCACACGCCTGCTGGGTGGTGTCGTCTTGTTCCGTGGGAAAGTAAGGAATGCTACATACAAGCAGCTATTGCAAGTTATTGCTGCGACAATTGCATGATCACATTTCACCCATGTAGGCTAGAGATCCTGTATAGCGCTCTGAGCTGCTTCCTACAATAACAACAGCAACAACAACAACAACCACAACGCTACGTAGTGATATCGTGTTGGCGACGTACAAAGCAGCCCAGATACCCTGCGGTCCTTCCGTCTTGTCATGCCTAGCCCCGATTAGCCTGGGGATGCGCTCAATTCCCAACGTTTCATACAAGTTACAACCCCTGATGCAGCAGCCCTACGATGACTGTGTTGTACATACCTCTAAGCTTACTGGGCAATCATGGCGTTCAGGTACGTTTCGGCACTAACACTGGAACACTGGAGAAGAAGCTTTGTGTAGGTTTTCAAGATGATGTTTGCTGCCATTCAAGCGGCGCGATCAAGATGAACGCCGCGAATATCGGAAGCCATGACACAGCGCGCCCTGTTGGTTGTGCTGGGCCGTCATCACATTGGCTGTGATAGCTGCATGCCGCATGTTCGTTTTCTGTACATGACTGTTGAAAGGCACGAACAGCAGCAGGATGGCGATGATGATTTATGAGAGCGCTCCATCTACGCCGGGAAATTTGCATTTCCGTCCGCTCTACGGAGCCAGACACGTGTTGATCAGTGCATCGGTCTAGTTCTCGTCACATTGTGAAAGTGCTAACTCTTCTCCTACAGCCGCCTTCCCTGTGGTCCTATCCGTCGGGACCTATTTGAGATAATTGCCTCTCTAGTAGTGTACTGCCTCTCTGATGTTAATAGGAACCTTTGTCAATCCAATCCACCGCTTTCTCCTGCGGCAGTGTATCCAATGCAGATGCAGCGGCAAACAGGGAAAGACCCGCCGACGAGTATTGGGGCTCACACTTTTCATTGTCTATCGTGCTCCAGGCTTCCTGTCCGCTCTCAGCTATAGCGCACTCGCCAGTTGTCACTTCACTGTCACGTCATGTTACACATGGTGCTACAATGTTTATGTAGATATCACTTGTGCAGTAATTATAACGACTTCAAGACGCTGAACAAGAAGATCACCCTTTGTGTTGCTCTCACATACACATGGTCAAAACCACGTTACAGTTTAGTAATCGATTTACGTCCAAGTACATGATTGTACTTCTACTGTTCTAGAAGGTTACGCACGTAACATTAGAGAGTACATTAGGGTTCATGCCAGAATGTGCAGGAGAACACCGTCTACATGTACATGTACATAGTTTTCGGAATATTGCTCAGGATCGCTCCGCAATTACTCTCATATAGTTTCTAAAGGATTGGATAACAGACGCCCAATTTGGAAACATTTATGCACAAAGTGATCACAGATTTTATGTGGTATAGATGCTGGCATAACGGTTTTTGCCTAGGTACGCGTCTATAGTTTTGAAGTGGACTGTAGTTTGGATACTACAGATGAGGAAAACCGTAACGTTTCCCCCTCCAGAACCCCCTCCCCCCCCCCCCTCTCAGACACGGGACGACTGTGAACGAACCAGAGGGTTGGTAATGCAGTTTCGTGGTTAGAGCAACATGAATGTCTCATTTGATCGGTTTAGTCAATCTGCGCTCTGCTGGTGGGAACTTCTGGAAGAGGTAACAAGGTCGAAACCACTAGCTGCCTTGGGGTTCAGTATGATAATATTATTAAATTTTATGTATTTATGGCATGACCGAGAGAGGAAAAAGGAAAGGGGGTCTATACTCGAGCGAATGACGAATATAACAGTGCATTATAAGCGCCTTGCTCCACATGCTACACGTACATGCACACATCCGTTACCTTACTGTTTGTGGTGGAGAGTTGAAGGTATGATGGCGATGTCCTTTCTGACCTCCGCACACTCCAGGCTGACGCAGGGACGCAACACTGGCAACAGGCCCATATGCCGGAGAGACTATTCGATAGTGGACTGGCAGACAACTGTCCTCGCTTCACCATTCAGAGCAAGAGAGAGGAGGTATAAACTGGTAGAGGAAACCATCTAACATTTTGCCTTCCCAATAAATCGGCAACAAGCTGGTATCACGTTCCTTATGTCTTGCACTAGACGCTACAATCAAATTCACTAGAACTTTCATCGACCAGTATATCTCTTTTACTCTTTCTTTCTGCAGCAATGAGTGTCTGGGAACACATAGCAGAATGCCAAATGACGTTCAAATAGTGCTCCATGCACTGAAACAGTGCTATATGTATATACAGTCAGGTCCTGATGATAATGGACATGACGCTGGTGTCGACTAGAAGACTGAGAAAGACGTAGACGTTATCGGGCCGGAGCACGAGAATTCCCGCCGTTAGCCGACACTTCTTGCTGACAGAGAATTCAATAGGGTTAGGAGACGCAGTCTGTCAGCACAGCTAGAAAGCTGTCAACTGTCGAGATTCGTTGTAGTGCGTATCGCTATTCGTTTTATATCTCACGGTCATCATGGTCGTAGGGTCTGGCTTTGTGTGGCTTAGGCTAGAGTCTCGTCATAGTGGATGGTCGTGGAAGGGGCTGCTCGTGTAGGTGTGGACATCCGGCGCGTACGATGTTATGTGTACAATTCTGATGTAGCAGGTCAGTCAGTATGCATAAGACATACTGAATCATATCCGCAGCTTCATCAGTGTACTACCTTCTCAGTAAGGGGTAATATGGCGCATAGTTGTATTGGCATTTAGCTTGTGAAAGGTGCGATGCCTGGCGTCGAATGTGATCCATACTTTTAACTGACGCCCATGCTAACAGCATACAAGCAGCGATGTACGTGTACCTAATGCTCTTGTTTAATTCACTGTGGACTTTCAAGAAGACACCGTGTGTATGTATGTGTGTGTATGAGGGATTGCTTTAGTGCGAACATGTAGCCACGAGGGATGGGAGGCACAGCCCTACTTCCGATTTGTCATCACAAGTCCTACATACATTGTACTATAGATAGAGCTGAAGAACACGTACGGTTAAAGGTATTCTCGTTGTTCGCCCTCTCTGTTCTATGCCAGCGCAGAGCGAAGTTGAGATACACTACGTCTCTGCCCATTAGGAGGCACACGTTTCAGGCCAGCACGTCTTCAGAGTATCTAGCCATCTGCCAGGCGTGGCCATCATAATTGTGCCTCAGGACTTTGACTGAGGGTCGCCGTGCAGAAACATCGATCCTTTAGTGGTCCCACATGTACATGTACATCTTACTGATAATAGAATTATCTAGCCCATCTACACACTGCACTATTGCCATTCACTCACATACTAGGAACATGGTTGACACGTGACGTGCTTTCCAGCCGGTGAGTGCTTAGATTGCCGAACAAACTCTGAGACCCCTGGCTGTCACGATAAAGTTTTTTCTGTTTTGTCGTCGTCGTCGTCGTCACCAAATGCCGCATCGTCATTGACCATTCATGGTTTTTTACTTGTTTTCGTTAGGACCCTTGTCCTGCAAAATCACTCGTCATACCTCCGCTTCCCACTGTATAATTACCCAGATTGAGCAATTAATTTACATAACTACAATATAAATGCCCCTAGGGCCGTTCCGTTCACTTCCTGTTTGCCTTGTTTCAAGTAGTGACTATGATGGCCACAGGGAGTGATCCTTCTATTATTTCCCCTTTATCTGTGGGACATGTCAAGGTACAGTGAATCCTCCGTGGGACTGACAGCAAGACGTAAGACACGGCCTGCGTGAAGATTGTGGATAACTAGCTAACTTGACAGGAGGAGTTTTCTCAGCCTGCACTATCTGTACCAGTCAAGGGGGCAAGATGGTGGCTATGCAAACCCAGATATCATGTCACTGGTGCGATTTGCCTAGGAAAAACCCATCTTGAGTACCCATCACTTGTTCGGCGCACAGGAACTGGGAATGTTGTCGATTGTGCGTTGAAACAGGGAAATTGAGCAAGGAAACAGGTGCAGGTGAAATCGATACCCAAAAATCGCTATTACATGTACATGTACGTGTATTTGCCCATTGGGCAGAGCCATTGGCCACACTTTTTAATGCTGGCTGTGAGGTCGGTACGCCGCATGTATGTCCATGGGTAGTACTAGTAGTGTCTCTGGGACAATGTGCTCAACTAGTACATGCATGAAGTGTAGTACCTAATGGCATGTTCCTGTCGACCCGTGCACAATAGCAGGATCACATGGTGCCGTATGCCCGCGGCCCTCTCTGTAGAATTGTAGGCCGTCACGCTGTACTGTACAGCCACCGACATTGAGTACTTATATTATGTCGTTGACGCACATGTACATTGTACACAGGATCGCATGGAGCTAATTCATACAGTCGGTGATCGCTCAGTGAGTGAAACTAGATACGGCTAGGATGTTGTCCTTATCCCAGGAGAACTCTAGGCTCACTTTTTCCTTCACTCCACATATCCAAGTAATAGTTCCCATATCTTGTTTTCCTTTTCTTCTTTTCCATCGTCATCATAGGGGGAATGCTTTCCCGTTTGAACTGCGGTGTAAAGTAAAAATAGATACAATATGGTAGAAACAGGAGAAACGATTTCTCATCTCCTGTATTAGTCGCTCTGCACTCTGATGCACTGCGAACTTTTTGGAGATACCCTGAACGGACTGGTCCTTGCTGGGGTCAGTGAGATCTGGAGCGTAGAACTGGAGATGTGTACATGATCCTAACCTCATGATCCATGACCACAGACCACAACATTTGCCCGTTTACAAGTCATATGCACTCCTGCTGAAAGTGAGCCTTGTATTATCGACATGTAGTAGCCACGTACCCTAGGCCACTACTACACACGGCCACGAGCACATGTACATTATAAACTACAAGAACAACGTACATCCGAGCTAGCTCTCTATCTAGCACCTGCTATTCTGCCGCAAAGAATCTTGTTCCTGGCCAAGACTGTGTGCATTTTGGAGTGGAAGAACGGAGATTAACCATTTAGTCTGGATAGGGTAATCTTATGATAATGCTGCACATAAGACAAGACACGACCATGGCTTGCTGTACGCAGCACATTGCTGTGGTCAGGTATAATGCAGTGCCTCTCGGCCGCACCACTGAAGCACTGGCCGCTGCTACCGGCCCCCACTGCCCGTCGTGAGCAGAAAAGAATTTCGCCTGTGCTCATTCAGGTGCAGTACATGGGATGCGTGTTGCACTGTAATCAGACTGTTTGTAATCATTCGCCAGATGATCGAGAGACGCCGCAGAGCCTCAAACTAATTCACAGCTATCTAAGCGTCAAGGTACATATCCCCCCTCCTCTATATCGCACAACAGACAGTACACTAAGGCGGAAAGGGAGGCTTCGAAGCATTCCTATAACTGCGGAAACTCTGGTAACCTTCAGCCACACAACTTCTACTCGTAGGTCAATTATTCATAACAAGCACACGACGTACTAGTAACGCTATTCGTATGTACATGTATGTTGAGAACGAAAGTTCCCAGGCAGTAGGTTTTGAACGCTAGCATACACTGTATCTGTCATCGTTCAGTTCAAGCTGTCTACGTCACAATTGCCAGTCGGTGCATTTTACAGACTGATAGACGAAGTAACTGGACAAGCGTGTTTGTACAATTACAAGTACAGTGCACGTGACAGCTAGGATGGGGATGGGGACTAATTTAGTAATTGGCGTTGACAAGTCAAAACGTATAACGGCGAAGGACACAGACACACATATAGACAAGCTAACCATCCACCATGGCTTCCATTTATCCTCACAACTCTTCTCATTGTAGTTAGATTTGCTCATATCAAAGGTAGTTGTAACTTGTCACGCGTAGCACAATATCAAAGTTGTGCTCAGGGTTCAGGCCTGGTAACATTACTACAGGATGAGGGAGTTGATACAAGGAACAGAAAGAGAGAGAGAGAGAGAGAGAGAGAGAGAGAGAGAGAGAGAGAGAAAGAGAGAGAGAGAGAGAGAGGACGATGAACACGGGAAGGGAGAGCGCATTCAGTTACAGTACTCTTATCACCGCGTATACAATGGCAATACCAGTTTTATGTTATTGTCATACCTTTCTGTCAATGACACCAGAAATGTCCCGTCGCTCCACTGTACTCGAATTCCATGGGATTGAGAATATCGGAGAGCAGATCTCCAGTGAGCTGTATTCAGCAATACTGTGTTGTCCGCTCGCAATTAGGCATGAGTCCTGGGTTCAAGCGTCCACCAAAGTTATGGCCAAGCTGTGTGTGAGTGTATACTGTTCTAGGCTGTGTGGCCGGGCACGGCTGGACAAGGCTATACTGGCAGTGCTAGTGGTCAGTGGTCAATGCAGGTAGTCACTAGTACTAGTACTACTACTGCTACTTACGAGTGATACGTGCTAATAGTGAAACTAATCTGTGAGGCTGGAAGGCGAAGGGCTGAGTGAAGACCAAGTCTGCTTATTGACCAGCACACCGGAACATAAATGAAGCTATGAGATCCTTGAAAGAAAACAGACTTACTTATTCACCAGATTGCCACCTCCAGACAACTGTTACTTGTTTGTCTAACCTCACAGCAGACGCTAGGTCCTGCCCTGCGCCGTCGCGGATCCACTCCAGGCGCACACAGAACTCGAATGAGTGTAAATGAATGTGCATCAGTTCTACCAATCTACCAGTGCAATACCATGTGGGCGCCCCATCCCAGCATCCTCAGGAAGCCTGTTTGATGGAGTCTATCGTCCTACAATGTAGCGTGTACGCGTGTGCATGTCTACATGTACGTATGCCATGCCAGAACTCGTGTGTGGGCATGAACTTCTCCTGGCTTGGTCTTATGCATGCGTACGGAGTGAGGCATGATTAACCTTCAATGGCTGCCCGGAGCTTTCTTCACGCCTTTTCTTCCGCCGTCCGCTGACATCGCACACAGCGGCATAGTGCCGCCAGAGGTAGCGGTATGCATATGCGCTACACGCGACGAAATGCCAGTGACGCTGGCATGTTTGTCCACTGCCGTGTGTACGCGCGACTGACCGCTCTGGTCTCTACTCTGCGAATGTAGTACATTTATGTAGGTTGTAAGCTACCTAGGAGATCCACTGAATACATATTAGGCGCATGGGCACTCTGATAGTCCTTGGATGTGTTCAGAGCGGTGGCGACGCTGCTAATGCATTGCTGGCTGTATCCATTCACTTCTAATGCTGACCAGATCTTATCGTTGCCTTCGAGTTCGAGCTTTCACTTCTTATCAGCAGGCATGGCCGATCACCCGTCCCGAATGCATACTGTGCATGCATATGTACACTAGTCACTAGCGGTAGGTCAACGGCAGTTCCCAGTACTGCATGAACACTGAGCAGTTCCTGCCATTGAAGTGGCATTGTGTACATCACACTGCTGACCTGTGCAATTATGTACACACTGGCGCAGTGAAGGGATGGTTGGCGCTGCAGTGCACTGTGCAGGGCCATCGCGTGTGAGTGCGTGCGTATGCAGCTTTTCTTATGTACGTCTGTGTCGTCGTGTTCATACACTGATACAGGGTTGTAGTTTGTTTTGTCCAGCGAAACTAGCCGAAAGGGGGGCGCTTGATGTCGTCGACTGTCATACTTGTTGTGGCGGTGGTTTGGCTGTCCAAACAGCAGTAGCAGCAGCAGTGTAAGATTAGGGTCCATGAAACACACTGCCATCTCATGTACTACAGGACGTTGTGTATCCGTGGGACAACTCATGATTTCAAAACATATGTACACCTATCTCCTGGGTCACAGTCAGTAGACGTGCCACAGGCTGTTGGTCGCTCTGGTACTGGTCGTATTAGTGCGATGAAAGATTAGCTAAACAAGGACGGGGAACGCGTGTGCGTACATGTATGTGTGTGCGCGCGCGCGCGTGTGTGTATGTGTGTTTGTTTTCGTGTCCCAATCAATGCTACACATGTACACAAATCTACAAGACTTCGTAACTAAACTGTGTACAATTACAACTGCAGCGGTTCCATACAATACACAACAACACATTGTCCTGACGTTCGGCAAGTGTTTTGGCGTGCATGTGTGCATGTACAATATGTACATTGTACGTTCATGTCAGTGTTCGGAGTTGTTCTCCAACTGTATCCTTATCCAATATCCTGCCCGTGATTTTCTGCTTTTTGTAGCGAACCGCCCGATGAATTTTAATGACGATTGCACAAGTACAAGCCATACATGTACATTGTATTTGTGAAAGATTGGCGATAGTTGGCGCACGAAAATCATGAACGCGGAACTCCTACGCTCCAGCCACAGTTCGTTGATACCATGACCTTTGACAAGATCACCGCAGACCGCGTTGGTGTCTATCCTAGGTAGGCTGTTCACAATACATTTCGTAGTCATCATACACAGCTACCACCCGAGCATTAGAAGTTAATAGCGAGGTTTTGCATTCCGAAATTCGGCAAAAAGATTCGGCACGCGGGAGCGAGGTCGAAAATGCCCACGAAGATTCGGAGTGTTTGTTCGGAAAAAGCTCACTTTGCCGAAAATATTTTTCGGATGCATTTTCTTGTAGAAGAGCGCTAGCGCGTGATTTATTCAAAGAGGTTTCTTATCTCGGCATCGCTTGGCAGGCGTCTTTGGCGACATAGCATCGTCAGCTACCTCTGATTGCTCCTCTCCACTGCCTGTCGACTCTCTTTCGCCTGGAGTGTCCTCACCGTCATCTGTGTGGCTGAAAAGACTATGGCGACACGCATAAAATTTGACTTGGCCATGGAGTTGGTTTTTCTGAGGCGACTGAGGAGGCAGGTTTGGCCCTCGACTCTTTGGGCGATCAAAGTTCGTTGGAATCAGCAAGAAAAGGAGCACGGGACAGGACGTTGCTGATGCTGGGGCTCACGAAATGAAAACACATCATTTTCGACTTGCAAAACAAACGTTGGTGCGAAAATTCGACATTTTGATGTTCGACAAATGACCGAAGAACGCTGTACCGAAATTCGGAATGCAAAACCTCACTAATCTCAATCTGTTGTTTCTGATGGTGTAAGTACATGCATGCCATGCTAAGTAAACGTCTCAGCCAGACCGATAGTCGCTTGGCACTCAGACCTTGCTACACTGTTTGCAGCCATTTGATGACACGATGTGGTGACCATGCAGTGCTGGCAATGCATGGCAGAAAGAGAGCGAGAGCTAGAGGGCACTGAGCGGCGGCGTTGCGGGTCACACGTCTGCCATTTCCGTCTTCCACTTCTACATGTATGAATAACGGTCCCTACTCTCAGGAATCCATGGGACATTATGCCACACATTATGGCACACATTATGGCACACTGCCTTTTCTGTGCACAGCAGAAGGCATGATGATGCACAGCCTTTCTTCGCATAGAAAAACATCAATATC